AAAAAAAAAAAAAAAAAAAAAAAAAAAAAAAAAAATATATATATATATATATATATATATATATATATAACCTGTAAAATAATTTTAAGATGAGCGGATTGAATGATAGAAGGAAGCAGCGGCAGCAGCAGCTCGCTGAGGTTTTGTATTTCTGCTGCTGCTGCTGCTGCTGCTGCAGCACATGCTGCAGTGTATCTATACACTGCAGCAGCAGCAGCAGCTGTTGTATAACAACCCGCTATTGGCCTCCTGTTGCGGTCCTATACAAATACATAAATATATAAATAAATAAATAAATAAATAAATAAATAAATAAATAAATAAATAAATATATAAATAAATGCATATATATATATAGAAGTATAAATCTAAATACATATATAAATATAAATATATATAAATATAAATATAAATATAAATATAAATATAAATATAAATATAAATATAAATATAAATATAAATACAAATATAAATATAAATATAAATATAAATATAAATATAAATATAAATATAAATATAAATATAAATATAAATGTAGACACAAGAGTATAAATGTATAAATATATAAATATTAATATATGAAAATATAAACAAATATATACATAAATATATAAATATATCAATAAACTAATAAACAGAATATATATACATATTATACTTTTTAATATATAAACATATAAGTAAAAACAATTATAATAAACAAACAAACAACCAAATAAATAAATAAATAAATAAATAAATAAATAAATAAATAAATAAATAAATAAATAAATAAATAAACAGCGGAAGAAAAAGAATAAATAAAAGCACAAGAAGAGGGTTTAGGGTTTAGGGTTTAGGGTTTGTATTGAAGGCAAATAAACCATCAATAAAACAAACAGAAAAACAAAAAAAGAAAATAAAATAAAATAATATAAAATATATAATATAGGTAAACAAAATTAAATAAAATAAAATAAAATAAAATAAAATAAAATAAAATAAAATAAAATAAAATAAAATAAAATAAAACAAAATAAATAAAACAAAACAACTAAAACCCTTACTAGCGGGTTTATCGGCGTGCTGCTGCTGCTGCTGCTGCTGCTGGCACAACCAGCAGCAGCATCATGAGCATCATCAGCAGCAGCAGCAGCAGCAGCAGATCGAGTAGGAGCAGCACGAGCAGCAGCAGCAGCAGCACGAGCAGCAGCAGCAGCAACAGGTGTTAATGGGGGTTTATATTTCTTTAAATATATTATTTCATTTATACTATCAAAACAAAGATGCCGCTGCAGCAGCGCGAGGCTCTTCCCTTCTTGCTGCTGCAGCAAACGCAGCTGCTGCTGCCGCTGCTGCTGCAGCAGCAAAATTGCATGCAAAGCCTCATCACACAGTTCTCGCCAGAGGGCCCCATGGGGGCCCCCAGGGGGCCCCCTGGGGGGCCCCCCTGGGGCCCCCCCCCCTCCTCAGCCGCCCCCAAGATATCTCCGCTTTTGGTTTGCTGCTGCTGCTGCTGCTGCTGTTGCTGCTGCTGCTGCTGTTGCTGCTGCTGCTGCTGCAGTTGCTGCAGCTGCTGCAGTATTTGCCGGAGTCTGTCTTTGATTTGGTCGCAGCTTTGTGTGGCCCCCCCCTCAGCAGCAGCAGCAGCAGCAGCAGCAGCAGGCGAAGCACCGTTTGCTGCTGCTGCAGCAGCAGCAGCAGCAGCAGCAGCAGCAGACTGAGACAAAGGGGGCAGAGAGAGAGCAGCAAACTCCCGCAGCAAAACCACCAAAAGATCATCAGCAGCAGCAGCAACAGAAATTAAATTACAAATCAATAAATGAGGCTGCACGTGACCGCGAAACGTCTCCTGCATACAAACCCTAAACCCTAAACCCTAAACCCTAAACCCTAAACCCTAAACCCTAGCTCCGGAACATTTAACCCTAAACCCTAATCTTTCCAATAGTATAAGATTATACCCTAAACACTCCTAAACCCTAAACCCTAAAACCCTAAACCCTAAACCCTAAACCCTAAAACCCTAAACCCTAAACCCTAAACCCTAAACCCTTACGGATCGTTGAAAGAAGTCATCTAGAGCGGTGATTACTCCGCCTGTGGTGGTTTCTGTTTCGTGGTTTGCTGCAGCAGCAGCTTTTTGGCATTCTGCTACAGCTGCTTGAGCAGCAGCAGCAGCAGCAGCTGCTGCTGCTGCTGCTGCTGCTGCTTTTTCTGCTGCTGCTGGGTCTGCTTCAGCAGCACTCTCCAGAGCCTCTGCGTGCTGCGCTGC